CATTGGGTAACGAGCACGATTCCTTCCCGAGGAAAGAACGTGGCTCTGATACCAAAAGTTGTGACACCCGTAGCCCGTGTACAGTATACGGGCTGTGCCACATGGACGATATAAAATAAAATAATAAGTCGCGGAAGCAAAATCACGAAATCCAAAAACATTTTTAATCAAACCAGAATAAGCAGCGGAAAATACAAGCGATCAGTATCGCAAAACAACACATGTCCGAAAAGTCATAACATAACCGTACAAAATGCGGGAATACAAGTCTCGGAGTTCAAAATAAAAATCCCGTACATGATGCTGCTTCTCTCAGGCCGTCGTCGTCCGTGCGCTAGGCATAATCCTCGTGATCTGAAAAATGTAAAACCACGAGGGCTAAGCACAACTGCTTAGTGAGTAGCCCGTGTTGAACCCGGTAAACCCGTTCTCAGCGAGAACGGTGTTAGAACGATGATCACAATCACATGCAGCAATAGTAACATGCATTATCATATAACGTGCATCACACATATAATAACAATCACAATCACACCCGCATGGAGTCCACCTTGGGGCTAGCCATAAACCCTAGTCAAGTCAGCATGACTAGGTGCGCATCACACGCCAGTCACTTGCGTGACGTTGGCCGTCGCATCACACGACAATATCGCCTCAAGCGCTTGTCACGTCACGTGACTACCGATGTCAAGTCCATGACACAACAGAAAAGTAACACACCCGTATGGAGTCCACCAAAGGGTCCAGCCATATACCCTAGTCAAGTCCATGACTAGGGGCGCCTCCACGCCCGTCAAGTCCATGGCGTTGGCCGTGGTAAGTCAGCATGGCATAATCGATCATATCACCCGTATGGAGTCCACCATAGGGTTCCAGCCATATACTCTAGTCAAGTCCATGACTAGGAGCGCGTCACACGTCCGTCAAGTCCATGACGTTGGTCGTCGTGTCGCACACGACTAATCGCGTCTCAAACGCCCGTCAAGTCCATGTCGGTGATGGTTGCGTCCACAACCATCCACAAACACAATCATGCTGGACTCGTACGCACGAGCAAGCTACACACATGGCACACATCATGTATATATCCCCCAGTACAATCACACGTATCACGGTATCTGGTCCCTTACTGATCTACCACTTAACGCCATGCAAACTACCCCGTATAATCACGCAACGAGTCACTCGAATCGTTGTATCGCACATCTCACGCACACGAGATTCGAAAATCATCCGATAAAGGGTTCCGTACTCTAGAATGGTCGGTCCAGGGTGTGGACCGGTCGGTCCAGGGGTCCCATGCTGTCTCGGGGGCTCTCAGGACAATTTTTGAGGTCTGAAACGCAGACCGTTCGGTCTGGGGATGCCAGACCGTCCGGTCTGGATCACCTAGACTGTCCGGTCTGCAAAAACAAACAGTCCATTCCAGCTCTGTTCTCTCTCACGAAACAGTTTTCTGGTCTGACTTCGTTTGGCCATATCTCACTCATTTCTCCACCAAATTACGTGCCGTTTGTTGCTAAATGTTCATTGAAATATCATCTATCTAATACAAGCAATAAACCATCTAAATAACACAATCACATCGACGAAAACGAGCTCACACAGACGCAACTCGAGCCACTCACCTCTGTTTCGGCTCAGATCTGGTTTTGGCCGGATTTCGAGGTGTTTTCCGATCTGTTTCTTGCCGGAAACCTCTTCTAGACACTCTAGGGATGTCCCCCTTCGTGTTATCGAGCTTTCCTTGCGTCGATTCTCCCTGGTTTTCGCCCCTTTCTCTTTGTTTCTCCTCTCCTTCTCTTTTCTCTGATTTTGTCCGAAAATGGTGAAACCCCTGCCTTGGGAGAGGTTTATGCTGCGAGAGGGAGGTCGAATGGGCTCAAGCCCAGGCCCAAGGTCGAGTCTGCATCACCCTGAATAGATTGGTCGGCGACTTGACGCCGGTGGGGTCTGGGAACGCAGAGAAATACGCGTCCCAAGGCAGCAAGTTGGCCACTTGCGTTCTGCCCAGCAGACCGTCCGTTCTGGGCCTGGAACGGACGGTCTGGGCCTAGTTTCGGCCCAGCTCCTCGCTCGTTCGTGGTTCGTTCGTTCCGCCTTTAGCAGTCCGTCCGTTCTGCCTTTGCCAGTCCGTCCGTTCTGTATTTCTGGTCCGTCCCGACTGACTTCGATTGCTCCGTTCTCACTCGTTTCTTACCCGAATCGCGCACCATTTGTTTCTACACCTTCCTTGGAACGTCCTCTTGCATCCAATCAGTAGATTATTGGAAACTCATGTTTACACGATGAGGTACAACTCGAAACGCCCGTACCTCGAATAACTTGTGAATTCCGAATTTCCAGGTTCTTCTCAATTTTCATTTGTTCATAACTTCCTCGTTTCTCAGTTAAATCGAGTGTCGTTTTCTTCTAGATCTTCGTTGAAATATTCTCTATATTTTTAAATTATTTTATCCTCCTTTTATTCCCGAAAATAATTTAAATAATTTATATGGGAATCGTGGTATTACAAATCTAATTCCTAAGAGATCAGTTCTAGGGTTTGCGTAGCGGATGTAAAACAAAAATTTTGATGAAACCCTAAAACCTATCATGCATGATCTTGTAGAAACGTTAGAACGCTTACCTCAATCGATCCGGGGCCTGTATCAATTGATGTGTTCGTCTGATCACTGTAAGCAGGAAGAATACCTTACCCTCTACACGTATCCACACGGCGGAAAGGATTCAAACGGTTGGAACTTGTCTCCTAGGACTGAAGAATGCTTTCTTCTTTGCGCAAGGGTTTCGGGGATCTTTCTCTTAGTTTTTTCACTCTCAAAACCTCTCAATGGGGTCTGAAAATCGTGCCAAGAGAGTTAGGAGGCGTTCCCATAAGTTTATCCCACTTAAAACCCTAATTAGAGCGAGTTTAGGAAATTCCGACGTCTGGACCGATCGGTCTGGAGCTTTTTAATGTCTGGACCGATCGGTCCATGTCTAGACCGATCGGTCTGGAACAATTTCCGGACCGTGTGACTGTCACACATTTATCTCTGGACCGACCGGTCCACGTGTCTGGACCGATCGGTCTGGGTTGGCTCGACCGATCGGTCTAGACCTTCTAGACCGGTCGGTCTTGCCTCCGCTCCACCGGGATTTTCTTGTCTCTTCTCGCGCATTTGTCCTTTCCTGTGTGTGTGACCCTGTAGGCTCATCCGATATAGCAGTATAACACGAAATCTCTTATTTCGGTTACACAAGTCATAG